AGAGGAGTATTTTGAGGCCATAATGGCAATGTGTCTAATATAATTTTTTAAACTTTTTATTTAAATATTCACCATATTTTTGAGCAAACCACATACAAGATTTAATAGTTGCTAAGGCTATAGAGATAAGGGATGAAAAGTGAGTATTAATGGTTTTCTTTTTATAGTGATGAAAATGTTCTGGGATTATTGGTGATAAGTTGTACAACTTAATATACTAAAAACTAGTGAACTGTATAATTTAAACAGAAATTTTAGTGTAAACTATACCAATAAATTTGGATTTTTAAAAAGAGTATATTCTATGCTATCTTGTATCAGAAAACACATAGGTATTATGTATATAAATATATGTGCATTTGTATGCATACTTATATATTTTTTTCCCTATCGTACAGAAACACAAAGGTTACATCAGAAAACAATGAGGGGGTTATAAATGTAGCTCCCTAATATAGCACTGCCTAGCATTAGAAAGCTCTAGGTTCAACACACAGCACTGCAAAAAAAAAAGAAAAGAAAAAAAAGATAAACAATGAAGTTGGTTACACATAAGGGATAAGGTAAAAAGGATACACATAAAAGGGAGTAACACCTCCCTTTTAGGGTAATTTTGACTTTGAAAAGCGTGCTATTAATCCCATTAAAAATTAAATCAGTAAGAATGGAAATATAAATTGAAAACTGAACAAAGTGGATCTAAATATATTTCAGCTAGATACTATAAACACACTAAAAAGGGGCAAAAATTCTAACATCACTATCTAATTGTACATCATAAAACCCTCCTATTCCACAGTGGTTCCCACCCTTACTATGGAGGGAGAAATGCTGCACACAGAGAGAGAGGCCAAGATGATGCTGAAGCAGTCTGTTCCGTTTCTCCACCCCAACGATTAGTATTAGATCACACTCTTTTTTTTGTCCAATTACATTTCAACACGGTTATCCACACTTCAACCATGTCTATGCAATGAAAGTCTCCATAAAAAGCCTGAAGCACAGGGTTCAGAAAGCTTCCAGACAGCTGAGCATGTGGAAGTTCCTGCCTGGAGCTCCAAGCTCCTCTTCCCATCTCTCTGACTACTGCAAGAGCCAACCAACAAGATACTCTAATAGCAATAAGCACTAGAGGGTGGCTTTTAATATCATGCTAAAAGAACTATGGCTCTTTGGAGAAATGGCAAGTCCCAGTAGTGGAGCACAGTCAATTCAATATCTTATGCCAGGAAGAAAATGCTAAAAAATTATGACATCACAACGAACACCAGTCGGCCTGAAGGGGCTCCCACTGCCCAAATTGAGACAAATGGTGCACCAAAATAAGGTATAGTAAAAAAATACAGTACATCTAACTGAAAAACTACAAATTAATAAGCCCCATACCAAAATGAAATATGTATACATTAATATATTTATATATATATACACATATACACACACACACACACACACACACATACACTAATTTCACCAACAGATACCACGTGAATGTCAAGGGCTAAACTATAGGGATGGGCAAAGTATTTTTTCATTCTAAATCTCTTCCCACTGCAACAATGTATTAGTAAACTGGGTGTGATGACACACGCCTATAATCCCAGAACTTGGGAGACTGAGGCAGGAGGATCACTGTGAGTTCAAGGCCAGCCTGGAATATATAGTGAGCTCAAGGCCACACTCAACTATATCCTGAGATCACGTCTCTAAATAAATAAACTAGTAAAAAAAGAAAAAGAAGAATCTAACTCCAACTACTAATTCTACTAATTCCAATGACTAAAAAAGTTCTCTCCAAAGGTTGCTTATTAGTTGCAAGAGATTAAAAAACAAAAGGTATCTACAGAGCAGAGATACTTAGGAAGACACTGATCAAGTGATCAAAATTAGCATCACCATCGTTTCTCTTCAGACATGTTGTGAAAGCACATCACCGCTTTTGTGATATTCCTACTATAAATAGATAACCTAAACCTAGCCATAAGGAAACAGGAGATAAATAAAAAATAAGGAATATTCCATTAAAAAACAAAGGGCTAAGGCTGAGGGTACAGCTTCACTGTAGAATGAAAGCTTAGTACGCATGATGAGCTAGGTTCAATCCCTAGCACCAAACATACAAGAGACAAGGTGACACACACAGAGTATACAGAAAAGGTGGTGAAACCAAATAAGGTCAAGCAAAGATATGCTCATGCATGTGACACAGTGTGTGTGAGTGTGTGCATGTGTGCGTATGTATGTATACCTAGAGAAAGAGAGATACATATATGTTTCTCCCAAACCAGCAGCTAAGAACCATCAACACTCATCATGAGGGGGAAAGCAAAAGCCAAATCTCAAAGATTCCATTCTTAAAAGTTCTGGGACAGAGGAGGTGGCAGAGAAAGAGAAACACCAGGACAAGAGAAGAGAAAGTTTCAAGAAGATGGACACCCTTCTATAGCACATGATTTAATGCCATTGAGAAGACCACATATACATTCTATGAACAGTAAATGGGTCCCAGAGAAGTTTTTATTCTACTTAAATATTAGAATATCATCTGTGCTTATATGCAGATATAAAATAAATTTTGAATTGGTTAAAAAAAAGTTCTGTGAAATGGACAGAAGTTATTCACCTCTTTTCTGAATAAACACAAAGGCCAGCCTATTCTCAGTCAAAAAAATGTAGGTATCTAGTCTAGAAAAATAAACCCTAAGTAAAAGATTTGCTTGAGGGCACAAAACTGTAATACACACAAAATGGATAAATACAGTCATCGACTCTTGAGCTTATTTTATTTTATTTTAGTTTTAGTTTTTTGAGACAGGCTTGCTAGGTAATTGGGGCTGGCTTCAAACTCCTCCAGCCTCCAGTCTCCCAGTGCTGGGATTATAGGGATGTGCAACCACGCCTGGCTCAACTCCTGAAATTTTTAAACTACAGTACCCTGAAGCTAGAAAGTGATCAAATGTCTAACTAAAAAGAGTATTTACAGAGTAGTTAAATTTAATATATAGAAGTGGGTAGAAAAATTACATACACAACAAAGTTGAGATGTGAGGAACCAAGAGATGGAGGGAGGGAAGGATAGTAGTAAAAAGAAGATGCAGACTATCTCAGAGCTGGTGTGGTGACTCACACTCTTAATTCCAGTTATCTAGGAGTCAGAGGCAGATGGATCAAAAGTTCAAGCCCAGCATGGCATGGGCAACATAGTGACTCAGTAAGAACACCATCTCCTAAAGGGAGTGGGGAGGTGGGAATGCAGTTCAGCTCAAAAGCCCTAGATCCATCTCTGGTACACCACCCCCAAAACATGTACAAACACATCCCTCAGTATTACCGTGGGAGACAGATTAGGGAACTGAATGGACCAACACAGGTACAGTCCTGTTTAATTTCTAATTCATTAAATACACTTTTTCATTAATTATGTTTTTCCTAAGTTACCTAAAATTTGGTTCAATTTGTTTTTTCTGTAGTAAATATACAGGCGAGAAAGAGAATAAACCAAACCACTGCAAAGTTTATCCAAAATGGTACTGATGCCAGAGTTCATGCGGTGCTCCTCAAAGTACTTTCATTAACCCACTACCTTTCTCCAGCCCACAAATTCTTAGGTAATCTGGAGCCCTGGACCAGCTTCATGTAGTCTGTGTATGAGAAATAATGCATGGTACATTTTTCCAGGAAGAGAGCACTGATTTCATTAAATTTCTTACAGATCTAAAAAAAAGCTGAAGAAAATCAATCACTTCTAAACAAACTCCTCTTGCTGCAAACTCATTCCACAATTACTACCTATTTCCTAATAATTCCCAATCTCCATCTCCATTTAAATTTCTATCCACTAACTTTTTTTTTTAGTACTGGAGATTGAACCCAGGGCCTTCATACTTAAGTATACTCTCACCCTTTTTTATTTCTGAGAGGAAGTCTCCCTGAGTTTCTAAATTGCACAAACTGGCCTCAAATTTGTGATCCTTCTGCCTAGGCCTCACCTTTCTGGGATTTACAGGTGTGTTCCACCCCACCTGGCTCACTACAACTCCAATTTGACATTATCTAAAGCAGACCTCATCATCTTTCCTTTTTCCTGTGTCTAATTTAGGACCAGCACTGCCATCCACTCAGTTTCCCAAGGAGAAAAAGGGAGTTGAGTGACTTCACCTTCCAATCACAAAACCCTATCAACTCTCCCTTAAGCATTACTTCACTCCTTCCAAATTGCAATAACCTTAAGCCAGTCACAATCATGTTTTATCTGGATTGTGGTGGTTTTCTCCTAAATTGCTTTCCCATCTCCAGTGTGAGTTCCCTACAATCTACTCCATGCTACATCAACATTTTCTCTAAAATAAACATCTTATACACTATCATGGGCATGTCAGACCCTTACTTCACAACATGTTCCACATATACTAAGCTACTTGATGTGCCCTACTGTATGTCAGCACCTTACTCTGGTCTTTTAGCCTTTGTGTAAACTTCTGCTCAAAACAAACTACCCTACCAAAACTAACCCCTAAATATCTTGCAGGTCTCTACTTAAATGTCATCCTCTTAATAATGGCCTTTCCTAATCCCTCTACCCATCATCCCCATGAGAACCTATTTAATATATATGTGATTCTATAACAGCAATATAGCTTATTACCATCATAGCAAGTACTGATATGAAATGTCCTTTTTCATTATCAACCTACATATTAAGATATAAATGAAATGAGGAATATAGTCCATCTATATTACTAGTGCTTAAAACACTACCTAACACTACAAAAGAAGTAAACATTCCAATACTGTATTTTTCAAGTATTTACATGAAGGCACTTTGCATGTCATAAGCAATCATGCCCAATGAAGAACACTATCTACCTTGAAGTCATAAATGAGGACACACCAAAAACTATTTTTGAATAACTGACAACTTTTTTAAAAGCTACATTTCTATTTTTGACAGTTAAAACTTAAGAAATGTGCAAATTCATAAATACGACCAACTCAAATACCTGCTGAAAAAATATCCATTGCTCTCTTCAATTCTCCTCTTGTTCTCTGATTACTATTTAAGTCTACAAGTGGAGTTGAAGGATCTCTCATGTATTCTAACTCAGTGGCGAACATACCACCATCAACAAAGCGTTCAGGAGCAATGTAGCAAGTCCTTCTCCTTGAGGTATCAAAGAAATAGTTGAAATCTGCTGGGTTGTCTTCCGGAAGATAAGTAGGTTTAAAACTGGCAAAATCAGTCAGAAGAACCCAGTTCCAACTGGTGACCATCACATTCTCAGTCTTGATATCCCCATGACGGACTCCAGATTTGTGTGCTTGGTCCACCGCTGTCAGGATCTGGAAGGCGATCCAGCGCTTCTCAATGTTATTTAAGAATGGACGAGTACTGATGCGATCATACAGGTTATCTCGAACATATTGCCTAAACAGCATAGCTGCTTTCTCAGATGCCTTCTCTGCTGCTTTCTGGAAAGGTAGACAATTCTGTGCAGAATGAAGTCTGATCTTCAGTTCCTCCAGCTCTTGTTTATAGCTGGTTAAAGGCAATGTGGGATCCTGAATTGCGAAAACCTTAACCACCACCAGGCCTTCTCGGTGTTTTGCTCGAGCAACTTTAAAAAAACGAGTACTTCCCAGGCTTTTATCATATTCAAAGTCATGGATGTCTGAGAAATAACTCTCCACAGAAAGGATCTGGGAAGGAGCAATGCCAGCGAGCTGATTTCCCATAATGGCAAGCACTTCTGTGTCAGTACATTAGGCTACAGGACCTACTTGAAAGAAAGGAAGAAAGAGAAGAAACAGTGAAGCAATGAAAGAAACATCATTCTTTAGATTCTCTCAAATACTAGATGTGCCTTACTTATCTTCCCCACAACATGGTACCTTGCCTTCTGAGTAGTCTCTAAATTAAAGGCATATTTATCTAAATAGGTATTGCCATTTTATCTTAAAATTTTATCATTTCTTCCTTTCCAAGAGCTGAACTATATTTAAATAGGTCCCTTTGACACTAAGTTGAAAATGTGAGAATGGGTACTTACTGATGTCTGGATTTAAAATGTTAATGAACCATTACTACGTGTTCAGTATAGTGCCCAGGATCACAAGGGTCCAAAAAGCACCATATAAAACACTCCTTGTCCAAAAATCTATAGTTTTGAGACAGGCCCATTTAAAAAAAAAAAAAAGTCCTAACACAAATAGGTCATTGAATTCCCTAAAGGATCAAGCTAAGATCCACAAAATCATTATCTTCTGGACTCTCTCGTGTAATTGAGTGTAATTCCACCCATCTAAAACAAGGCGCAAACACCTCCTGTTCTCAACAAGAAACCCTGCCAGAGACAAGGTGAAGCCAAAAGGCACAGATGCCCGAGGTCTTCCTAATCGAGATTCCGCAGTAAATAAAAGTCCCCTCATCACCGCCCAAATACACCCCACGTGATCCTGATCCCGATCCCAAACGCGGTTTTGCGGCCAAGTTAAACCTTTACCCCCGGCCTCGGGAAAAGGTCAAGAATCGCTCCACAGCTCACAGCGCGGTCATGGCAGAGCACTTCAGGACCAGAGTATGAAAAGTGCGTCAGGAGCAGGGAAAGTTGTCTCTACGCGTGGTCTTCTTCTAAAGCAGGAGAGAAGTTGAGGGAAAAGCGTAGATAGGTCTCAATCTCCAGGAACACAGCTGGTCGACAGTGGAGAGAGGAGGACGCCCCGAAGGGCATCCGCAGATGTCCAGGTAGCTGCCCCGCCAGCCCCCGACTCTGCCTCTCCGGAGGGCCGCGCGTTGCTGCGTCTCGGCTTCCTCGCGTACAGGTCGCTGGAGCCCTCAGACGCTGCTTCCAGGGCCTCGCCACTAGGCCTGGAGGGAAAAGCGTGGAGAACGCCAGTTTCAGCAAAACAGTACTTCACCGGCTTCAGCTGCAACAAACCCGAACTCCCAGGAAAGCGCTCGGTCTGACCTCACTTCCGGTCGCAGAGCGGAAGTTGCCAGTGAGACCTGAGGAAGAGCCACTGTTGAAAGCTGGTTGCTAGGAAACGAGAGAGGAGGAGGGCGTGGCTCAAAAAGACGAGCGAGAAAAGATTTTCTCACTCCCCAAATCTAACAGCTCTCAGAATCTGCTCAGATATCCCTTCACTCCCTGTTGACCAGAACAGAATTTAAGAAAACACAGGTATACTTAGTAAGTTAATATTAATTCTAAGCAGGATTTTCAGCGTTTATTGAGATGTAATTTACATATAAAGTTTAAACTATCTTGTTTAAAATATATAAATCAGTAGTTTTTACTCGGGGGCATGGCTCACTGGTGGACTGCTTGCCTACCCACTGCGAAGCCCTAGATTCAAACTCCAGCACTATAAAATAAAATAGGGGAAAAAGTTTTTTATATATTTACAGAGCTGTAAAATCATTTCTATGCCCTAATTTTAGAACATTTTCATTACACCAAAATGAAACCTGGAAGGTATCAGTGGTCAATTCCTGTTCTATTTCCTCCCCTTTCCAGCCTTAGATAAACACTAACCTAAGATTTGCCTGTTGTAGACACTATGTATGTAGTCTACAGCATGTCTTTGTGAATGAATGCTTTCAATTACCTGTTTTTGAGAATTATCACTGCTGTGGCACATATCAATACTTTTTTTCTTATTACTGACAAACATTCAACTCTATAGTATACTACATTTTGTTTATCTACTGTAGATGATGAATATTTGGGTTGTTACCAGTTTTGGGTTATCGTGAATAATGATGCTAGAAGCATTCATGCATTTTCCTTGTGTAGTAAGGTATATTTATTACTCTCGAGCATACACCAAGAAGTGAAATTTTGGGTTTATTGTGTTTAAAATTTTTAGAAACTATCAAACTGTTTTCCAAAGTATATGGGTCATTTTATATTCCCATCAGCAATGTTTTAAGGCTCCAATTTCTCTATGTTCACACTTATTATTTTTTTATTAAGTCATCCTAGAGGGTGTGAAATGGCATCATATTATGGTTTTGGTTTACATTTCCCAACTGATCAGTAATGTTAACCAATTCTTCATTTGTATACTGGCCATTAACATTATTGTCATTGGAGAAATGTCTATTTAAAATCTTTCATCCATTTTAATTGGTTTATTCATCTTTTCATTATTAAGTTGTGAGAGTTCTTTATAAACTCAGGATACAAAATGCTTATTGAGAGTATGATTTTTAAGTATTTTCCCTCTATCTTGTTACTTCACTCTCTTGATAACGTTTTTTGAAATACGAAATGTTTCGATCCAAAGCCAAAGTTTTTTTTATCATCCATGCAATATCCCTCCTCCCACCACCATAGGCTGAATTGCCCATTGGATTCATCAAACTATGAGTTTGGAAGTCACGAAATCATCCTTGACATCTTCCTTTTCTCTCCCCTCCTCTGCCACTATCCCCCATTCCTTCCATTCCTTAATCACTTATTCCTGCTGAAGCACCTCCAAAATATGCCTTGAACCCATGCACTGTCCTTTCTCCAAGGCTAAGATCAAGCAACCATCACTGTCATGATGTCTAGATTTTGAAACCTGCGCAGGAAAAGCATTCCCTACTATATTGTTTTTATGTTTCTTTCATGAGCTCTTCTGGGTCTTTTATGGTTTTTTTTTGTTTGTTTGTTTTAGTACTGAGGATGGAACTCAGGACCTTGTGTTTGCCAGATATGTGTGGCACCACTATGCTAAATCTCTGGCCCCTTGTGGTTTAATTTTGTGTTCTTAAATTTCTTTTCTTTTTTCTTTTTCTTTTTGTGAGTACACGTGTGGAGTACATAATGATTACATTTGTTATAGGGATTTGGTACCTATACATAACACATTTTAATTATTTTAACATTCCCTTCTCCCCCACCCCATGCCCTTAAATGTCTGAAATATATATTCAACTTTTGATTTTTTCCTAGAAAAATATTCAGTTAACAAAAAATGTTAACATATAATCTATTTCCCTCAACTTATTTGAAATATCACATTTACCATGTTCAAATGTCCCAAATAAAAGAAAGCAAGAAAGTCCCATATATATGCATCTTTGGACTTACTCTTCTGCTCATTGAAGTGCTGTTTAATACATCTACAGTACTGTTTTAATAAATATGTAATATTTTAATATCTGACAGGGATAGTCCTAGGGTGATCTTTTTTAAAAAGACAACTATAATCATATGACACCCATGCTTATATCATTCAAGAAGCTTAGCAAAAGGTAAAAATCCTTGATTTGGATGTGGTGATGCATGCCTGTAATCTCAGCAGGAGGCTGAGGAAGGAGGATCACTATGAGCTGGAGGACAGCTTGGGCTACATAGTGTGTTCAAGACCAGCCCGAACTACATAGTGACACCTTGTCTCGAAATAAAAACACACAAAAAAAATTCTTGACTTACCCGTCAGGCGTGGTGGCCCATGCCTATAATCCCAACACTCAGGAGGCTGAGGCAGGAAGATTACTGAAAGCTTGAAGCCAGTCTAGGCTTCATAGCAACACCTGTCTCAAAAAACAGAAAAAAAACCAAAACAAAAACCCAAGCCAGACATGGTAGCACATGCCTGTGATCCCAGCACTTGGGAAGCTGAGGCAGGAGGATTGCTGTAAGTTCGAGGCCAGCCTGGTGGGCTACATAGTTCAGTCCAGCATGAACTACAAAGGGAGACCCTGCCTCAAAAACAAACAAACAAACACACAAACATCCTTTAACTTGGCCTACGAATCCCTACATGATTTGACCCCTGCCAACCTCCACTACTGTAGCTGGCATTCACCACCCCTCTCAAACTCCCATACTGGATCTCTCTTTGTTCCTAACCTCCCAGTCACTAGAATCTGACAATTAGGCTTCCTTCTGCTTATAAAGCTCTTACTCTTCTTTCTAGCCAAAATCTGCTCATCTTTAAGTCCTAGATCAAATGCCAACACCTTAGAAAAGTCCTCCTTGACTGCCCTCCTTATTTATTCTCATGGACCCTATGCATTTTCTTCATAGCACTTATCATTAAAATCATTTGATTTGGAGGAGGTAACTATTTGCTAATGTCTCTTTTCCCTCCAGACCATAAACTCCATGAGGACAGTGCTTGTATGATGACTCTTATTCACTAGAGTACCTTCAACACCTCAAACAGTACCTGGCAACAGATATTTGTTGAATTGATAAATGTGGCCTTTGTAGGTTTGTAACCATTAGGGACAAAGTCAGAGTCCCAGGACTGGGAATGTCTAAAATACAGTATTTATAATAATTAGTACTGTATAAGCAAGCTATTAATTACTATGTAATATTTTAACATTATATTTATACTTCAGTCTAATAATATGTGTATAAAATACTTTGAGCATCACTCCAGTAGAAAAATCATTCTATGAAATTATGATCAACCTGTTTCAAATTAGATTATTCCTGCATTTCCTCCACGCATGCCACTCTGCTGTATTTTGTGAAATAATGCATGAAGTAATTTTCATTGCCTCTGTAGTCACTGATGTGGTTTTTCCCTTTACTTTTTCTTTTCTTTCTTGAATACTGCCAACATTTTTAAAAATACTGGTACAATATTGAACCCCCAAGGATCAAACCCCCAAGGACTCTGCACTGAGCTATACTCTCATTGTGTGCGTGTGTGTGTGTGTGTGTGTGTGTGTGTGTGTGTGTGTGATTTTTTGGGGGATAGCTTTTTTATAGTATGGGGGATCAAACTCAGGAACTTGTGCTTGCAAGGCAGGCAATGGCACCACTGAGCTAAATCCCTGGCTTGAGATAGTATCTTGCTTAATACCAAGTTCCACAGGCTGGGCTTGAGCTTGTGGCCCTTTTGCCTCAGCTGCCCAGAGTGGTGGCATTACAGGGATGTGCCAGTTGTCCTACTTGTCCTCAGTGTAACTCAAAGGGTGTATTATCAAGGTCTTTTCATCATACTCAGGTAATCTTGCTTTCCTTGGCCAGAATTAGAACAGTCAAGTTCTTAATGTCTTTTCACCCAACCCTTTCCCTGTCACCAAAGCTTTCTAATGCATTAAAGAAGACACAGGTAGGGAAAGTAATAATTGCTTTCCACTACATAAGTGTGCTTGTCCAGTAAGTATAGCTAGCCAGACAGAGAGATGAGTTCCTGAAGGAGCAGAGAGGAGGGAATATTTTAAATCAAAGTAGCAAAAAGGAGAAACACCTGACTTTGGTGAAAATTGTATTTCCTGAGGAATAACAAACTTTCTATTATGAGTGGAAATCAGGAGAGAAGGAAGAGGGGTTGGGGATCAGGGAGGAAGACCCTCCCTTAGTTTCTTGCTGCTCTACACCCCTACTTGGGATTTCGTGTCCTCCTATGAACACAAAGCTAAGTAAACTGATAGATATGCCTACCTTTCAGAAGAAAAAGTTATTATCTCTTGGCCTATCATTTATAACACAAAGCAGAGTATTTATACTTATTATTTATATTTAAATGTAAAAACAAAAAATGTTATATGAGCATGTGGATGTGTGTGTGTGTGTGTGTGTGTGTGTGTATGTGTGTGTGTGTTTTCCCCTAAAATGAGAAAGCCATCTTGGTCACTGGAATCAATGTGGGTTGCTGTGGGCAGTGTGGCTCTTGGTCCTTCATTACCACGTGAGGGTATCCTGTCCTACCCACCATTCTGCTGGTTGAGGACCCTGAACAGTTAGCAGACAAGTGTACAGCATTAGCAGTCACCTGAGCCTCATGGCTGGGTTTAAAGACACACACGTACTTGTCCACACCTGGGCTTAGAAGTGAATTGGCTGCTCAACTTGAGCGCGTCACTGACAAGGGTCATATTAGGACTAGCATGTCACTAAATAAAGCAGGCATGTTGATACGTTAAGTTTCTTAAAAGCAAAATAAGTTTCAATTTTCATCCAATTGTAAGGTTTTTATACAGAATCTCCCATTTGCTTCAGCTGTCTCCC